TACTTCACTAAGTTGTGTGTCAGTGAGTGCTTCGTGCATTACGCTGTCAATAAATGATAACAAAGTTGCTCTATGTTGTGTACAGTCTGCAGGAAAAATATTTTATATATGCTATATAAAATTTTACTTAAAATATACTATGTAATTTTGACATCACAAGTTTCGTATATCTAAGTCAAATATCATTATATTGTAATTCCATTTCTATCTTAATTAGTTGCAAATTAATTTGATTTTATCTTTAAAAGCATATTTAATAAAAAAGAACGCAAATATAATAGTTTCAATTTTTGTGTGATAAAATTCCTTTGAAGATTATATATAAAGATTATTATAAAATATAAAAGAATTATAACAAAATTAGAAAAGTTACATGTATTGATAGTAATTTTGCATCGGTACATATTTTTATTGTTTTATGTTGTGACGCTACGTCACGTTAAAAGCTTTTGTGAAAGACAAATTAATACGATTAGGACTATTTGTATTTTGTGTTATTGATCTATAAGATATTTCGATATTCGTATGACATGTGTTTTTTTTTGTATTATCCTTAAATAATTAAGGATATTACAAAAAAAAAATACAAAATGCATACTTCTTCAATATGCATATGCTGCTTTGGAGGCTTCGAAATAAAATGTTGAAACGTCTAAGGGAGAAGTAGTTGAAACGTTACGTTTATTTATAATTTTAATGATGTAAATATTGTCATTGTGTTTGCGAAGTTTTCGGATCTAAGGGTTAGTTGAAAATAACAGTTATATGTCATAAAGGAATTCTTAGCTTTCTTTCATAGGAACATAATATCTATTTTTTTTGTTATAGTAAATGAGTACAAAAAATTTGTTTCTTATAAATTTAGATATAGAATAAGGTTAACTAGTCGCTTAGTAAACTTCTTTGTCAGAGATCCTTTATTAACAGGATAAAAAATATATTAATTGAAATTAATGTACACGTCAAGTAAGTCAGTGTAACTTTTTGCTTAACATGATTTTGCGAACATATATGTATTATATATCATATATTATATAAATTGCGAATATATATGTTATTTATGTATATATATGTTATTTATGTATATATATAAATATATTTGTTATGTAAAAGTATACCTTTAGGATGAAAGCCTATTTTATTTTTGGTATCTCTCACTTTTTTCTCCACGAAAGTCACAATCAAGTGATGAAGACAACGACCTAATACTACCTATTTTACCTATTTGTTATAATCAGTGCCTCTATGAATGATAGCAAGTATTTAGAACCCTCTTTAACTATGACGATAAAAATTGTAGTATCACGACAATCAAGCCATAGTACTAAAAACATGTACACCTGATTTGTCTTCTGTTCTGATACATTCGTAACGTCTCCCTTATATGACTGGGGCTGTGCTTAAATCTTGGCAATTTGCCAAAATATTACCTGTACCTTAGACAGACACTTTGTAATTGGCATTCGATTTCAACTGCCCCCGTACTCTGCATGATTAATAAACTTATATAGAGCATAACGTTATACATTAAAGGGAATGATGTTCTTACATCTTAGTGACTTATAAAACGAATTTATCAGAAATCGCACGACAGGTAAAGTAATCTTTCTAGCTATGGTATGTCTACTGGTTTTATTGACGGATTTTCTAAGTATCTGAAATTATCTGAGAGACCTTGATTTTTTGATTTGAGGAGCGTTTCAGGAGTCAATCCTCCCTGCAGCTCTATTTTTGATTCAAATTAATCAGATTTACTAATGGCTTTTTCGATGACGATAGATAAGCTATCCCTTTCCCACTCATACAACAAATGATTGAAGCAGTTTGCTTTTTTCATGTACTCCTCGTGTAAATGCGAAATTTTTGAGAAAAAGTAACGCTTTCACTGAGGTAATAAGCATATCAATCTACGGCTTCATTTTGTTTACTATCAATAGTGGTGGTAGTCAAGTAATATCCAGTTGAAAAAAACTTACAAAAAAATTTTGAAATAGCCACAGCCAAATTCATTAATTACATATTATTCTTTTGAAAAAACTTAAAAAGTTGACGGTTTATTCAAGAAATAGAGCTAATAGTCTTAGTCTTATTTGACAATACCTTAATGATATTTATTTATATTTTTTATTGTTAAATAAAGAGGTTATATTATTAATACATATGTATTTATATATAAAAAGGACACCGAAATGTTCATTTTAATGACCATGCCAACACGTATATATTATTATATTGGGTTTAGATTGAATACAAACTGAACATAAAATAAATATATTTTTATATTATTCTAAACCCAGCAAGAGCCATCAGGGTCATGTTAAGTTCCGCACAACATGGCCGCCAGCAACTTCCGTCCACTTCCTGTTTCAACTTAAAAAGGCAAACTAAATATAGTCTGGTCGGATAAAGTGATGTATGTATGTTGTAAACAATTTGTTTAATGTAAGGTATCAGATTTTGTTTTTTGATACATATTCAAATTTTATTTATTTTTGTATTTATATGGAAAACCTTATATATAATTAATATGACTTTGTAATTAACGAGATTCTTATTTACTACTGAGTTATTTATATAAAAACATATATGACTAAGTTAATTGTTTTGTTTCTTCTCCAAAAAAAAAACAAAAAAAATTTTGTATTCTTTTAAAATTATAAATATTTTTGGTTATTAAACCTCATTTAAATTGAAATCCCCATATAAAAAGTGTGGTTTTTATATTTTTTTATAACTTTAATCAATTTAATAAATAATGATAGTAAAACTGTTATCGTTAAAATATCAAAGTTAGAACAGAGTCACTGTGCAAAATTTACGAGCATTTTAGACCTCAAACTGCTAAACTAGCGTAATGCTAATATACTGTAGCCGCTAATACATGTTTATGATAAAGAGGAAGGTTTGTTGTTATATCTATATATATATATATGAAAATATATATTTATACGCTCTACATATAAAAAAAAATTAACATCGCCGGGCCAACATCGTTGTATGTATAAAATATCATATAATAAGTGACGCTGCTGACTCCGCGGAACACCAAGCCTTGTGAACCAGAAGATTCCTGATACCACACAAGTAATGGAATGGCATTGCTATCTTAACATAGGAGCAATTAGTCTTAGGTATAGGTTGTAAGTTTTAAAATGTAAATTTTATAATAATATACATATAAATAAGTTTCTTAGTTTTCCTGGAACCTCTGGTTTCCACTCTATATTATTAATATACAAAATATTATGTAGGTATGTATGTATAATAGAATATATTCATGAAAGTGTTTCGTAGACGTGCTACGTAGATGTGCTACGTCGTAGCGGTTGTAGCCAAAGGAAGCGGTCGGTCGTAGACAACATGCCCAGTGTATCCTGCTTTGTTTTCACGAACGTTTGTCTCTGTACAAGGATTTATTTGATGGAGAATTATTCCATAAGCATATGTATATGCAATATACAAATATATTTTCTTCACCAAAAAACATGATAGTATTAAAAATTGTTTCATTTTCATATGACAGGAATATATTGTTTCTTAGTGATGTTCAAGTTTTCAAAAGTATATAGTATGTGAAAAAAATCTATATATATTTTTGATTCATTCAGGTTTTTAAGGCTTTAAAATTAAAAATAAAGGTGAAAATAAAATTTAATTCATTTTGTTGTACATTTTTATATTTAAAGTATGTTAAAGTGGCGTATACAGCCTTAGTATTACGTCCAAGTGTATCGGGCAGCCGTAGTTCCTGCGGAAGGCTCTCCGGGCAGCTCGACCAGTTCCTGTTGTAGCTTAACAAGCTATCTCATGGTTTATTAGTGATCTGATTTATGTTACTTGCTGGATAGAAAGGATTTTTGTCGACAGAATCAATATATATATATATATATATATATATCGTCGTCATCAGCCTATATATATACATATATAGATACATATAATACTTATTTCTATTTAGGACTTTTTATTGACGAGAATCAAATATATATACATATGTATATCAATGTAATAATCTTACTTTCAATCAAAATTAATGATTTCAAATGAAATTATCATTGCAATAACATTTCATTAGTTCATTATAATTCCAAATAAAACGGCCCGTTAATGCAAAAGTCAATTTATTTTATGTCTTATTCAAGACACTAAACGTACCATTGAGAAGATTTCAGTGTATTTTATTGATAATGAGGCTATTGAATCTGATGTTCAATATTATCTTTTAAGGAATAATCAAGAAAATTAATAATGATGATTTGGAATATATGAATCATTAACTTCAACTGTTTTGTTCAATGACGAATTTTAATTGGGTATTTTTTGTTATACAAAAGGATTGAAAGAAATAATAGGTACTCATGATAAACATTTTATTATATTATTTAGCATCTAAAACTACAATATCTATACATATGCATCAATTGAAGCAACGCTTAATATTATACCGGAGTTTTGTCTATGAAGCTTGGGTACAATTAATAATTTGACAGTACATATAATATATATGTCTAATTTGTATATAATATGAATATTGCGATTAAATACAACTGTTTCAGTTTTATAAGCTGACGTATAATAATATTTTGCTACATACATTCCGTAGTGGACGAATCACGTTATTACACTAAAATGTACACTTATTTACATTTCATAACAATAATATTTTTTTTAGCGAAGATTCTTTTAGAGAACTATTATTATCATATTTGTTTTAAGTACTGCTTATTTTATACATTATATATTGTCTATACAATTGACGATTACCATCTAATAGAAAGCTTGTCTATTTTCGATCAGCTTAGAATCGAGTTTGAATAAAGTCTAGATCATATTTATTTTTATATATTATTTTATTATAAAGCCTACAATATAAGCTATATAACATTTGTTCCTTTCCATTTACAATTTAAGACATCAAGAAAATTTTCATTATAATATAAGGGACGTTAAAATCGTTAACATCATTAACTTAACAATTTTTATCATTATTTTATCTTATGCTAATTTAATGATAGCATTGCCAGGTCTTCAGTGCTCCTGTATCTCATGCTGTGCTCTCTTGGCCACTGTGTAGCTAGAAATGTAATAAATTAATTATTTTAATTGATACTAACTAATTCTTTCCAAAATATATAGATGGTAACAGAGTTACTTAATTAAGATCGCGTTACACATAAGCAAACAAATATTATCTATTTCTACAAAAGCATTACATACAAAGCCGATTTCCATTGACAATCCGAAAGAATATGCATTCTAATCTTAACAGGAAAATGAAGATAATGAACGAACTATCTCATTGCTATATACTAACATTATAATATAAAAAGTATTAAATAAATAAATCAACAAGTTACATGAATCAAAGTTGTGAACATGATTTAATCAACATTCATCAATATTATGAGTACTAAGCAACATCTAAAAATTTTAATTGTGTTTTAAAACAAACTTACGAAACTATATGCGTTTAATAAAAAGGTTTTGGAAATGATAGAGTAACATGGATAATGGTTTTGAAATGATTCCAATTGGATGGATTAAAGATTGTAAAACTGTTTGGATGGTTGGATTGGAGATATTGAAATTATTTGCTTTGGATGGATTATTGATTAAGAAGTGTTCCAACTGTTATGGATTAAAGATGATCAAAATATTCGAATCGGATGATTTAAAGTTTATGAAACTGTTTGGATGGTTGGATTAGAGATATTGAAATTATTTGCTTTGGATGAAATATTGATTTTGAAGTGTTTAGAATGTGTTGGATAAAGGACGGGAAGTGTTCAAAGTGTGATTGATTTAAACTGAAACTAATCGTAAAACTATTTTCTAGACGGTTTGAAGATATTGTTTATTTGGATGAATTCAATAATTTCAAACTGTATTTATGAATTAAAGGTTTTAAGACTGTTCATCTCGTATAAATCAAAGATTCTGAATTTGTTTCTATTGCATGATAATATATTGTAACTCTGTTGACTTGGAAGAATAAAAGCTGTGTGTGCAAGTTCTGTGTATACCTATTATTGTGACATGCTTTCTTGTGTGTGCTTTTTCGTTTGCATGCAAGACGTTTTGAACGTGATTTTCGGGAATATCGTGCTGAAAATTTAAAAATACAGGTAAAATAAAAATACATTAACGATCTCAAAGATATATAGAACATTATGTTTAATTTTTCTATCTTTTATTTTCAAAGTAATAATTGTATTAATGACATCGAACAACCTTTATTACAGTAAACTTCACGATAATAAGGTTAAAAATACTTAATTTTTATGAGATATTAATATCATAAATTTTATGTATGTTTTAATCATGCATTCCATGGTTTTATTGTCTAACACATTTTCATTCCGAATTCATGCAAATGTAGACATTTTAAAAATATTTGGTTTGTTTTTATCCAAATTACCTGTGTAATGCATATTCCTATACATATCAGGACAGTTGCTTGATACCTGTAAACATATAATGTATAAATTATTTGAATTAATCATATAAAAATATATATGAAGAACGAAGAATTTAAAAATAAAGAATGCATGTGAAGTGTCACGTTTGAACAATTATTAATACTGCAAACCAATATTAAGTGAAAGCCACTTCTAGTTAAATTAATTACCGTCTCCACTTAATTATATTTCGCACCAACAAGGCTTGAAGGCTGAAGCTTCTACAATTTATGGGCACGAGCGCATTTTACTAAAGTCAAGTGTCGCATTTGCAATGTAGCTAAACATACTTCAGTTTACTGTGTTTACGTAAAATCTCAATTTTATTATGCTTGTGCAAAGACCTTTAGTGATTCAAATAAACATACATATATATACGACAGTAAAACTATGAATTTATATGTATTTTTTAAATTTATTACTACTATGGAGGTACAAGTTTATAAATAATATTTGAGTATTTTCCTTGTCTTTATTCATTTTGATACTAAAAATAAATTGACTCATAGATTATGAAGTAATAAAACAAACTAGTTAAACATATTCGAAACGAATTAAAACCCTAGGAAATTTGTTAGGTCAAGCTTGGTACATTGCGCAAACCTGATAAGATTCTTGATAACAACCCTTTAAATATACCCTAGCTATTATAAATACACTAGATTTAGCACCCGCGATAACTTTAACGTATACATCGCGTAATTTCTCAAAACCGGAGCTTATCTTCATTGGGAACCACACAAATAAACACAAAGGTAAACTTGTATTAAACTGCCTGATAACGCAGACTTTTATGGGCTATTAGTTTACCTTTTAATACTTAGAAAACTAAACTACTTTGGTATTTTTAAACTTTATGTCATGTTTATAACACAATGTTGAGATTCTTAATAAGAAAAAAAAATACTTCTAATATTTTACGTTGGTATACACAGTACACGAAAGAGAACTTTGATCATAGACATACAAAATAACATGGAAACAATAAATAGAGAATTTCATAAAGTTTTCTTAAATACTTAAGTCAGAAGTCTTCCAAAGATTTTGGCTAATACTTTTATATTTTGTGTATATATACATATATGACGGTAACATGTAGTCAAACTCACCGGCATTCCTTGCTTGTTGAAGTTGATATTTGTCCTGACGGTGCGATGGTGAAGAGGCTGAACCGGGCGAGCATTATTCCCCAATGGGGCCTTTGGAGTCAGCTGAGACCCTTGCATCAAACGACGAATTGCGTACATCTACGAAATAATAGAATATCAGCAATGGACAGTTTGGCTATATATAATCACCCTATCAGAGCCCACTGCTAAGGAAAGGCATCTTCTGACATGGAGAAGATTTGAGCATTAATCACCACACTTGCTCAAGATGGGTCGGTGATATCAAACTTATAATTTGAAATTATAAGTCCAGGTTTTGTCACGTTTTCTTTCACCGTCTGTCAATGGTGTCTTACTTTTAGAAAGTACATATAACTCGAAACAACCATATTGGTACTTGTCAGGTTTGCTATAGCCTATACTCATATAATATGTCTAAGATCATATGCTGACCTCTTGCTTGGATATATAGATCGGTTTGTTAAAGATGATCCAAACAGCTGTCTCCCAACATCCTGGATGAGTGGTGGAACCTTCATACGTCAGATATTGCTGAGTATTGGGCAGCAATGAACTGAGCGGTAGATGTTTTATGGCGAAGGAACTGCCTAATGAAATAAGGATATTAGCATAATATTTTGTATACATGACTGTCTTTAACTTTGAGAAAACTGTTACTTACCTCTGTAGGTAACTTTGTTGAAGGCGCTAGTTATGAGACGCAGTTCCTTGTTAGTAGGTTCTCCTATCTGTAATGATCACATATATTATTTATTGGTCTCGTCAATTATACTTGTATTAGCTGATAATATTTTATTACTTACTTGAACCATTAGCGAAATTCCTACCACCCCTTGAGACTTGTGTTGTGCTTCCGACATGTTGTGGTATAATTCCTTGTTGAAGCCATACAATTGTATCTGGGAGAATAAATATTTGTGTGAATAAAGTAAATCAACTTCATGTCTAAAGAAAAATATATCCGAACCTAAATGTAGGCGCGTAATTATAAATTATAAATAATTATATTTATTACCAAAATTTAATTAAAGAATCATAAGTCTTCCAATTTTTCTTGTCTTTCAAATTACTTCGTTGTTATATTTCTATAAAGTACAAACAGAATAAATAACATCTTAGATTTATGTTATTTTTAAATCACGAGTTGGTAAAACGAATCTACAAATAAATATTCAATAATAAATTTTTGGTAGGTTGGAAGAATTTTTTTATTTATTACAAAAATTATTTTTATAATATGTACTCATATATGCTAACCATGTACATAAAAAACTAATACGATCAGTTCTATATCCAAAAGCACAGCTATTTTATTATATACTAGGCAATTTAGGCGTCTTTATCCAGGTTTTGTTATAATTATTTAGTAAAATTTACATAACTTCTCTTCTCTACATTGAAGGACTTATTACAAATTATCCAAAGAAAGTCAGAGGTACGCAAAATTTTACAAAGAGAGAGACAAAAAAGCTATAAAATCTGCAGACAGCATTACCCTATTTAATTAAATTAATTCTTATATACCAAAAAAAGCTCAATTTATAACTAAGTGTAATACTTATTATTGAAATTCTGGAAACATTTTGTATGTAGTGTGACGATGTAAAACCTGCAGAAAGCTGAATTTTATTTAAAATATTACATACCTCTCCAGGAAAAGTATGATGATCAATCTGGTGTTCAGAGCCCCGGTTGTCTTCCAAACCATAATGGAAGTATATCTCCTCGAACTGGTATCTGTAAGACAGTGGCCCACCGCTGATGTTGACCTGGTGCTTGCTGTCCTTTTCCACTCGGAAGACCAATGATTGACCGGTGTTTTGTAGAACACCGCTGACCTGTATGAATGTATCTTTTGTAAAGTAATATTGGGCTATTTTTATGTCCTTTATAAATGGTTAAGCTAAAATACAACGCTCCAAGAATTTATTAATTAACACCCGTCAACAACTTATTAGATTAATGATATATGTAAATAATAATGGTGAAATATAACTAAAATTTACAACTGCCATAATCTATTCAAATGAAATATCAAGGGCGTGGTGCTATGAATCAGGTTGCCAACTATCCAGGGGCAGATCATATCAATCAATGGGCGCACCTTGATTAAAACCTGGCAAGTTTTGCGCTTTCAACTAAGATGACATATTGCCATCTAACACGCGAGGATTATTATGACGTGTGGCTTCTGGAAGCGGCATTGAAATTTGAAAGGTAATATTGTGAAAGGTAATATATATTTTGTTGTATTTATTTAGTAATGTAAATATAGTCATTTTAATATTATATTCGTGTTGACAATTGAAATGTTTTATGTAATATAATTACATTCGATTGAACTCTCATCTTGTTGTCGTATGTGGGGTGTTAAATGAATTCAAAATTTGTAAGATTTTTATGATATTTTTGCAACAAGTTTAGTATGTTTTCATAATATAAATATGAACATTAGAATATAATCTTTACGAATAAGCAACCCTTAAATCTTCACAATTTATGGCCAGCTTTTAAAAAGATTATAAATTGATAAATTAAAATGAAATTAGGTCTCAGATCAAGATCTCATTATGAGACTAAGTGCTAAGAATACTAGTGAGTGAATTCAAGAGAGAAGTAGGCAACAATCAAGTACCGTTTTGGTATTTATAGTATAGCTATTATAATGTTTATATGTACATATAAAGGACAGACATGTATTTAGCGCTATACTTATATGTATAGCGCTAAATACATTTGTCCCTATACAGTAGATATAACTCTATATAATATTGTTGGAGTTATTGTTTTTATGTTTAAATAATTATATTATTTTACAAGACCTTTCCTGAAGCTGCTTAGGTAAAAATAAAAGTGTTTTTCTTTACCGAAGACAGCTTCTTTGCAACCTATTTCCTACAACATTTTAGTTGTTTATTGAAACAAAATGCAGCGGTGCTAATCAAAATTGTTAAACATATTAGATATGACGATATATGGAGAGATTTATGAAGATAAATTTTCTTATATTTTATTACAAGTAGGTTATTCTGTAAGCTCATCTATAATTTTTATATTCATGTAAACACTATAGGCGTGGAGTGCCCTTGTGTAACTCTCAAGCTATTTATGTAAAAGATACACCAAGTTTGCTGATTAATCGTTAGATAATATTGTAGTTCAAAACAAAGATAACAAGTGATAACGGACTGCTGGGAATACTAACCAGTAATCTGGAAATATTAAAAAATTGCATATTTTTATTTTCTACTAGTACATTGTGTAATCACTTATTACACATGTTTTTTGGTAACTAGTATATATGTCATCAGCCTATCAGAGCCCACTGCTGAGCAAAGGCCTCTTTCTCACATGGATAAGGTTTGAGTATTAATCACCATGCTTCCTTAAGACGGGTTGGTGATATCAAATTTATAATTGTGAAATTATAGGTCCAAGTTTCCTCACGATGTTTTCCTTCACCGTATGTCAGTGATGTCTAAATTCTCTTAGAAAGTACATATGACTCGGAAAAATCACATGGATACTTGCCAGGATCAAACTGGCCGCACCCTCGTGCACGAGAGGCGGACCGTTTTAACCACTAGGCTACCACTGACTAGTATATATAGCTAAGTTTTAATAAACTTTATTTTAACAAACCCTCTATAAAATATTACGGTTCCTCTTTTTCTTGTGCAAGTAATCATTATCATCAATACGAATCAAAGCTTAATAAAAATAGTCCCAAACAATTATTTAAGATGCAATTTCACTTACAATCATACGTAATAATTAAATAAGTAAATTTATAAAGTCGTCATAGAAATAAAATTAATATACATACATTAAATCAGTCCAAAGTAATATTTCAGAAGAATTTTTATAACATGATTCTTGTATTACGATCTGTACGTTGTAATATTACAAACGTACACAAAATCCAGACTAGATGGTAATAGTTGGTAATGGATGGTAATATATGCGAGGCGATATGTTATCTAAATCCGGTTTTTGCTAAGTCTATGTTGTTCTGAATGTATTGCGATTCTAGCTGAAGTTTTATGTTTGTTTTAGTGCGACTTAAAATATTGTATGTACTTAAAACTTTGATCTATTACGTATGTATATGTTGAAATAGTTTCAGTTGCATAATTAATGGGATTTAATGTTTGTATCACAATGATTTTTTTCGTAATACATATGTTGGAGATTTTATTTATTTAAATTTCAACATGAAATGATATGAAAAATAGTCTACACTTTCTAACAAGATGCTACTATAAAAAAAACTTCTCAACTAAATGCTGTTCGAAAATTTAGTAATGTAAATAATATATGAAGAAATTAGTTAGTATCAACTACAAGTATTTTTTAAGAATTAGTCATGATTAACTTAGAAATAGCGTTGCTATGTCTAAATCGTCACATGTTATGTTCAATTGTGTTAACTATTTCAGAGGGATTACTGCCGCAGAACTATCACAATAACGACTGACCAACAAAAACGTTACACTGGCCATAGCAACTGGCTTGGTCAATGGGTTTAGCATAATGGATAGAACTAGTGATTACAATCTACTTTTATTACTCTTGTCTGTTTAAAATTGTTAAACATGTTGATAAAATTACATCGCATCTGTTCGGGAATACTTTCTAAATATAATACAGTTTATTGTATAACCATAATCATCATTAGCCTATCAGAGCTCACTACTGAGCAAAGGCCTTTCCTTACATGGAGAAAGTTAGAGCATTAATCACCGTGCTCGCTTAAAATAGATTTGCGATTTCTAACTTATAATTTGAAATTATAATTCCAGGTTTCCTCATAATTTTTTCTTAACCGTGTGTCAGTGGTGTCTAAATACTCTTGCAAAGTCACATTGGTACTCGCCAGGTTTCGAACCCAAGCCCTCATTATATAGTAATATATAATTTCTGACAAAAATTATTACAGTATGTGAGCGTAATTTAATTCCAATGCTAACATACAGGTTGCTTAGTAACGAAAAGAAATAAACAAATAACAGATATTCGTATAATATGAAGATAACTTTAAGTACATAGGTAGTCAAAGACTTCGGATAGTTATAGTTTAAAATTTATTTGGTTATATATGTTTATAACTGTGCTATGGAGAAAATGCATTAAAAATACTATAACATTTCTTAAATTTTCTGTTTTCCATAGTTCTTTTATTTCTATGAGTTCCTTATAAGGACTTTTTGTATATAAAAATGAATGAAGCTTACCTTATGTTTATCAAACTGTATGTCTCTCAGCCAGGGGTCAAAGAGTAATTTATCGGGTTCTATGTTGACGGGGCTCTGCCGGCGGCCCTTGTTACACATGTTCCATTGCGGATTGATTAGACCCCAAAAACCCGGACCTGAGATAAGGAACGTTATCACTATATATATCATACTTAACAATATAGAAGCATATAGGCTCGTTCAGAATTTCAACATTATCTTGTAGTTTTAGGAATTCAATTCAGTCTTAGAATACATAAAAGATATTGAATTGTAAAGAATACATATGATATATTAAAAATATGTATATATCTTTTGATTTTAGGAAATTCAGTTCAGTCTTATATACATAAAAATTATTAAGTGATTAAGAATACATATGATATATGTATTAGACAAAAAAATAAACCAATTAAAATAAAAAAAACTCAATAATTTCCAATATTAATCACAAAAGTAAATATCATACAAGTAGATTATATAAAAGACGATATATTTAATTAAAAAAACTCCAATACCAATTCCATAAATGTATATTGAAAGTAATTATTTAGAAGCCTCTAAAGAATCTAATGATATTTTAATGACGTGGCCTCTGTTCTATAATGATGTGTATGTGTGAAGCGTCCCGTCATTAGTATAACAATTGGTGTAGTCGTAGTGATGTAATCTATACAGTACTGGTCATTAACGTGGCATCAATAAAGATAGTATTTTTGAATGGGAATTAAGTTAGAAAATATAGAATGATAAATTGATCGAACGAGAGAGATGTAGAAGTCTTATTGAAGATGTTTTTTATTCTTTTTCGTCATCAGCCTATCAGATCCCACTGCTGAGCAGCCTCTTCTCACATGGAGAAGTTTTGAGCTTAAATCACCACGCTTACTCAAGACGGGTTGGTGATTTCAGACTTATAATTTGAAATTAAATGTCCAGGTTTCGTCACGATGTTTTCCTTCACCGTTCGTCGGTGGAGTCTAAATACTCTTAGAAAGTAGACACGAATGTAAAAAATCACATTGGTTCTCGATAGGATTTGAATCCGCGCCCTTATGCTCAAGAAGCGGGCCTTTAACCTCATTGTTAATTATAAAGCCTAATTTAAATTTAAATTTAAATTTAAGTGTTAAATCAAATTGGTTTTAATGACAAAATTGTATCTGTATTGTATAGAATCTGAATATTAATAGAAATATACACTAAATTAGACACATATAAATTATTTAGTTCATTAATGTAAAACAAAAACATTCTCTATAACCATAATCACGATAATTCAATAAATTAAATAATACAAAGCCATGAAATTTCATAGCTGAATAATTTTATGTCAATGGAATAGTTTAAAACGATGATGAGTCGAAATACCCGTTACTCAAATATAAAAGCCTATTGAATAGTGTTACATTGATATCGCATCCAATGGAAGTTCGGGGTACCGCAAAATTCCCCCATCACAGTGCACTGAGTCGTGTGTACTATGTATAATGTTGTTGAGCGTGTCCAATGTCTGACACGATACGAGAAATTTAACGTTGTACATTGTTACAGATTATACAATTTCCTTACAAAGATACGACCATAAATTTAATGCTCGAACTTAGTTATATAAGTTTCAAGTATTCTAAATCATTATTCGAAATGTAAGGAATAAGTTTTGTTTAATTTTGGTAGTTAAAATTTATTTCGTTAATCAGACTTTCATTTTTATCGTCGCAGTATAATGGAAACGCACACGTGATGTAATGTTAGGGTACCATCGGACACTATCGGATATGCCCGGACGGCCGTTATCGTTACATTAGCCGAATTTTTTCCAGTGCCCGGTAATGAGGATTGGGGGCTACATAAAAGTAAATTATACATTGGATATGTATATGTTGGTTGGATTGTAAACTTTGATTTCCATATGAAATTTTAACGTCCACTATTATCATCATATCATTTTACGTTAAAATATTATAGTTCTAGCATTATATTGAAATCGAATTTTACATATTAAATTCTTTTTTATATTTTATTTCATAAAACGATAACTACATCATAAATATTATATCATTCTATAACCACTAAAAATTTACGTACAAGTGGCTGAAACATTTCGCTGCAGTACCACGTAATGATACAGAGCATGAACTATCATTAAGATCTTATCAATGTCATTTTGATGTCACTACCCTGTAATGTATTTCAGATTTTAGACTGGTATTTTATAATGACCGTGTTGGATACATTTTTACCATATTCTCAAATAGTAGCGGATGTGAGGCAATTTTGTATGACAATTTGTATACTTTTCTTTAATATTTATTTGCAATCATTTCAATTTACACTCTATTGTAACTGGTATTTTATAATGACCATGTTGGATATATTTTGAAAATAATTTTAACCAGTAATCTATATAAGGCGACTTAGTTTGCAAAAGTATTATTTTTTCTTTGATATTTATACGAGTATAATCAACATTTCAAATTACACTCAATTGTGGCTGGTTTATAAATATAATTAGATCGAAATTAATGTACTATGTATATATGAAATAATAATAAACAATATTATCATTTTCATAATAATAATTATTAGTTTTTTTCTTATTTAAACCTCACCTGATATTCCGTCGTATGTCCACCATTCTTCCCAACTACCGCATATGTCTGAAAAAAATATCATATAGAAATGTCTATTGTTGTACGCATATAATTATATTTACGATTCTATCTCATCTAGATTAAGCAGTTTATATTGATTTATAATAGATTTTGACTAAAAATACTTATCGTTTCTTGTTGAAATATATACGTAAAAAAATCGAAAAGGATTGAAAAATATGGGCAGTATTTTTAAAACATTTATTATGTTGTCTGCAATTGATGGAACGTTAGGAGTGTGTCTTAATAATTTCCTTAATTTATTGTTGACAATATAAAAAGAATATTTATCGATTGCAAAACTAAAGACTATCAAATTCATGAATATTACAGTCGTATTGGAAATGTACCTTTATTCTTTTATATCCAAATAAAACTTTAGTTATATGACCACAAAATGTAGCGAAAATTCTATAAAATTGTTTAGTACTAAAAACAAAGCGGAGCTGCGGTCAAATCTAGCTAATTGGCTGTGTAAGTTAGATCGTCGGATATACAAATTGGTTTTCAACAAGCTGTATTCAGTAACGTGAAATTAATAATTGGTTATGGGATACGGATTTTTTCACTAAAAAAACAAAAAGATTACGTTGTATGAATTATCATAATATTTATGTAACTGTTAATAATATTAAAATTATGTGCAGATAATGACGTATTTGCATTATTTATTTATTTTTATTTATTTTTTGTAATATAAGGTTATATATTTTGATTGGCAATAGTGGAAACTTTCATCCGAGATGCAATTAACTATTAGGTCATGGATAATATACATATGTATACATTATCCACCACATAAGTGCTAAGTACGAAAATATACACTGATTTTATCACAAAGACATTGGATTAGAGTTAAAAAGTAAAGAATATAATAATAAAATTAGGGTTAAAATAAGAATCAAAAATAATAAATCTTCTCTATCCAACATTCTCATCTCGTTTGCCCGTGATCACGGTTGCTGCAAGAATAATCGAAGCGTTGGGAGTATGTAGTATTTAAAAAAATAGAATAACGCATAGTAATCCGAAAATATTACTTTCAATCATATGAATACTCGCAGAAGCTGTGATCTCATTATAGGAAATAATACCTTTCACTAAATAGCACAAGAGGAGCGCAAGGAGCCAGCATGTCTGCATCGTGATGATGCGTCACACTTCGCACAGCATCTGGACCTGTATCTGGAACAAATATAGACAGATGAATAACTAATAACAATACTTTACCTATTTTATTAGCATGTTTAGTAATAATTACGATTTACTAAAACGTCCTATAATATCAACTTTACAAATTTTGAAGCTGACGAGTCTTGAAGATCACTATTTTTGCATATTTTTATGGAGTTAAAACTTTATTTTGGCAATATTGAATAAGTATTTAAATGTTTTCTAAACGATTATCAGGTAGATTTTGTTTCGTAGATAAAAGCAATAAAACAAATTCTCTTCCCGACCTATAGATATGGTGTGGAGTTGTATAGAATATTTTTTTTTCTGAATACCACCCAAAATAAATCAAATACGGAATATTAAAGACGAAAGAAAGTAAAACGCAATCTTATCTTTTCGTTATACACATAAAAATGAATATTATTATATAAAATTTTTAACCCATATACATATATATGCTACATGTATGATATATGTTATTATTTTCAATTGATATATATTTAAACAGGTCTTTTAAGTACAAATCATCAAAGAAACAGTAATTATACAGCATTACTGTTATCAGTCAGATAAGGTTGATATCCTGTTTTTGCTTTCCTGCTTTATGACTCTTCTTGGGACGGCATAGTTAGCTTATCTCCAAATTCAGAGCTTTGGGGTTCTCAAGTCCGTGATAAATTGCAATTGTACCGTTTGTATTGTTTTTTTTATTTAATATAAGAGGCCAAAGATAAAAGTGAATGCTGATATCGAATTTATTATAATCCTTAAGATAACATAGTTATATAGTAAATAAAAATAAAAAAAATTTTAGATAATTCTCTATTTTATGAATGATATATAGTTTACAGAAGACTGAAGAATCATTTAAATAAAGTAGATATCTGAATTTTAAATTTACATTCGAAAAACTCTTAATGCTTTTCATTTACTTTAACTTATATATTTATATTAAATAGTATCTAGAATTAGTAACAATACATTAATTAATTATTATTTATTAAAATAATATTGAAAATGTGTGTGAAATTTTTTATAAACACCAAGAAATGCAGGTTGATTATTCAATTATTCTGAAAATTATTTACCTATTTCGACAGTTTCTTAAAGATTATATTTCTTTTGTGAATTTTATAACATATTATTTAATATCATATTATTCGTATTTTTGATATTGAATAAATATGGAAATGTAATATTTTCGCGTGTACATATTTAAATGAAACTAAGTTTTTCGAATACGCGTTCATCTCGTCTGTCCGTGATCAGGGTGGCTATAAAGTTTAAAGGAACCGAAACGTCAGGATTATCTTGTTATAAAACGCGTTGTATCCTCAAAACTTAGTTGCA